CTAGAAAAGGGACACTTCGAATAAAACCGCCCTCTCTAACCAATTTATGATCACGCTTCCATTGGTAAAGTGGGAAGCCAGGTGACGGTGCGTCCCTTCGATTGCTTGAAGTCCGTGTTCGAGAGAAGTAGCCGATTATCTTCACCTACCCTGAAAAGTATATCGTTATCTGAGCGACCCTCATCAAGAGCGTAATGATCACGAAGATGACGATCGCATGGTAGCACACGATGAGCCAGTGCACTTAATTCCCAGGATTTTTCGGCTTTACTCTAACGCTCAAACCATGGCACTTAGAACTAAATGACAATTACTAACCTGCGGGTTAACTGGGATCAAGCCGACTAGAGATGTCGGTTTCTTCTCCGGCAATCTGTTAACAATGGTTGCTACGCGGCTGCGCCAGTGGTATTGAAGCAAGTAAGCAATTCTCTGTGCAGATCCAAGCTATACTCAAAAGACCGCGTTACACATCTGCGCTTTTAAATGTATGTGCGGGTTCAAGTACACTGGCAGATCTGAGAGAATGCTGACAGCAAGTAATACAGAGTAAATCCAGCTTTGCATGGTTGCAAATAACCAACAGAAACCCACTTACACCCTCGTCAAATAGTGTTTGTGCAGAAACTCAGGTGTAGCGTTGCAGTTAATAACCAAACAATGCAACCCATGCCTACTTCTTTTCATTGAATCATCAGATAGTTGGCATTTAGAACTAAAATTATCCAGAGAGAGATTCAGTGTTCAATCTAGTCCTTTTCTCGTCAGGTCAGTGATCGTTTTGTCATCTCACTGAAATTAGGTGAATGCATTGGCTTTCAAATGAGTTAACTCTCATTACAACATCGCACTTTGATTGTTTTATGTAGGCATGATATTTATTCCACAATTTTCTGTACATGGATATGTGAAAACGCAAAATATCCGGATTCAGTATATCCTGTGAAAGCTAGCTTCGTTTTGTGACAATAGTGTCTTACTTTACATCCGGTCTTCCCTGCGTGGGAGACTTGTGAGCACCTACCGAAGTGACGATAGCCTGTGTGAGCTACTGTGGTGCTCCATACGCCTCAGGCGCGGAGAACTGCTTGTGGGCGCAGTTTATCGCAGTCCCCTGAGTCGTTGTTTGGATTGGCTGCCCCATCTTCAAGCCCACATGAGTCGTCCACACTTTCTGCTTATGGGCGATTTTAACTGTCCTCGAATACGATGGCCTGATGTGCATTTGATGCCTGGACATAGTGAGGTTGAAGCAAAGTTCGTGGATTTGGTACTTGAAACTGGTGCATCGCAACACATACGCCAGCCAACACGCATATCAACACGTTCAACCTCGTCCTGTCTCGACCTGATGTTAACGAGCTACGAACTACGAGTGCGTGACATTAGGATTCTGAAGCCCCTGGCTAGGAGCGACCACTCAGTACTGATAGCTGATATGGAGTTATCTTTGCCGTATTCACATCCGCTGCAACCAGCTCCCAACTACTGGAAAACGGACTTCGATGGTCTAGCTCGAGCCGCGACCCAACTGGATTGGTCTCTGTCACAAGCTGCATCTGTGGAAGATTGTTGGATATTTATAAAAGAGAGATTGACATCATTGTGTTCCCAATTTGTGCCATTGAAATGTCGAAAGGTTGGACCGATTAAGCCTCATTGGTTTGACAAGGAGTATGGAAACCTGGCTCGGAGGCGGCGCAGACTGTGGGACAAATTACTTCTCTCTGGCTCTGCCAATGATTACGAAGGGTACAACTATTAGCGGAACCTCTGCAACAGTGCGAAAAAGAATAAACGCCGACACTTTTAAGTGCAGCTCGCATTAGCCGCAAAGACCGCATCCAAGAGAATCTTTGCATACGTGAAGCGACGCCTAAAGCCGGTAGGTGATGTGCCAGTGCTGGATAGCACGGATGGACAGCCCCTAACCTCCAGCACTGAGCGTGCGTCCGCGTTGGCGGCGCACTTCGCTTCTGTATTTGCGAATAATCAGGTGTCTGTTCCGAGTTCGACGTGTACCGCTTTTACCGAACTCGATAGTCTGCATTGCAGCCTTGAAGAGGTAGCTCAACTACTCGCCAACCTTGACGGCACCAAACCTGCCGGACCTAATGGGTTTCACCCACTGGTTCTCAAGTCACTCTCAACCATCCTCTCTCCTGTCGTGACTGACCTTTTTTAACAGGTCGCTGTCCGAAGGTTCATTGCCGGTTGATTGGAAATGTGCGGTGGTAAAGCCTATTCCGAAAGGCGGCGACCCTAGCAAAGTAGACAATTACAGGCCAATTTGTCTGACGCCTATTTTGGCAAAGGTTGCTAAGAAAATCGTGAAGAATGGGTTGCTGCAGTTGCTACAGTCAAACGAGGTCTTGAGGTCCGCACAGCACGGTTTTATGCAAGTTCGATCATGCATTACGAACCTGCTTGTGACGAGGCATGAGTGGTTGAAGGCAATAAATAAGTGGAAATCCGTCGACGTGATATTCATCGATTTCAGTAAAGCCTTCGACAAGGTCAGTCATGAGGTTCTCCTTCACAAACTCAGCATATGTGGCTTCGGTGGCTCACTGTACCGTGGATCCGCGACTTTCTGGTTGGACGAAAGTGGAGAGTACAGTTCGACGACCATCTAACTGACTGGTACCCCTCTACAAGTGGCGTGCCTCAAGGCACTGTGCTGGGGTCCACTCTGTTCCTGATCCACATCAACGATCTACCGCAGCTGCTCCGGTCGCCGTGTGCCTTGTTTGCGGACGACATGAAGATTTGGATAGAAAGCGACGCTCCCGATGACTGTGGCCTACTTCAGCAAGATCTCAACCGCTTATCCACATGGTCTGCAGAAGTTCTTCTCCCGGTCAACTCAGCCAAGTCTGTATTTATGAGCCTGGGGAAGAATGCTAACGGCCGAACCTACACTCTTGACGGCCAAACGCTATATCCCACACCCTCCGTGAAGGACCTAGGTGTACTCTCACGCTACGATTTGAAGTCCGTGAACAACACGAACAGACTATATCGGAACGGACTGCGCATGCTTTGGGCGCTCAAACGTAGCTTCGGCAAATGGTCTGAAGAGGTTGACACCCGCCTGTTCTCTTCTATCATTAGACCAATGCCAGAGTACGGTTCGCCCGCCTTCTTTCTGATTACCAGAGGCGAGGCACAAAAGATCGAACAGGTCCAACACGTTGCTACCAGGCTCATCCCGAGTTTACGTGGCTTTGGGTATGAAGACCGGTGCGAGAAACTAGGACTCTACACCTTGTCCTACCGTCGGGTGCGAGTCGACCTCATTATGACCTACCGAATTCTACATCTCGGTGAGTTTCCATATTGAGGCCAATGCTGCACTCACGAGGGCCATGCAGCACACGCGAACGCAGATACAAACTTGTCGTGCCGGATGTGAAACGTGTTCCCCACCCACTGTGCCTCGAAAGGAGAGTGGTAAATATTTGTAACAGTTTACCTGAATATGTGATGGAGGCAACATCTGTGCAACAGTTCAAAACGTTGTAACATTTGTATTTTGCATCTACTCGATACAGAGAACGACTGCACACTTACGATGACATATCACATTTGTGAATCCTGAAATATCGTAAGTCGAATATTTTAAATATTACTTGAGGACGACGATGATATCCACGGTTGACAACTTTTATAACGTTTTTCGCCATATTTCGAAAGAGTTGTACAGAATCCATTTCTACTTGCTCTATAATACAGTATTCAGTATTCAGTAATTCTATAACGACGTGAACGTTCCCATTTTTCACTTGATTATTTCTAACCTCAGTTCTCCTCTCAGCTCCTTCTTTGGTCCATCTAATAAACCAAACGCTATATTCTTCCATTATCCTGTCACTTTCATGGGAATTTCTATGGTTTGCTACTGAATATACATTGCTGCAGATGCATATTCATCCTGCTTCAGTAATGCCATATTTTCACTAAATTTTGTCCAGCGCCTAAATTTCACTCTCGAATTCACTTTCATTTTGAGGACCATCGTGTGCCGACTAACAGCGATGAGCTTTTTTCTTAATCTTCGATTGCTCTGCTCAATAGAATACCTGTTCTTAAAGCTAATATTAAAACATCCCAAGAGCCTCATCAATTTTATCTATAAACATTTTTAGTGCGTGCAGTAATAGTTGTTGTTTAGACATTTTTCGAAATGATGGGTACACTATGCCACATATTAATATTTGGAGACTATCAGACATTACGCAGTAAGTAGCGTTCTTGCATCTTGTTATCATTTTTCAGTCCTTACTGATTCTTTAAAGCACTTATTTTTTATTTCGTTTTCCGTGACATTGACGGCGTGAGTATTGGCGACATTATCCACTGCACTTTGTTACCCGAATCACAATTGTCAGCTCGACTCTCTATTCCGTCGCCTATACTCGAAAGTTGTAAATGGGCTCGATACCTCTCTTTGTAAATTTTGGGAGCGGACTACATCTAACTCTTAGTCGCTCCTGTGACCTATTCGGCAAACTCGCCCATCCTACTCCATGAATCCACCTGCAATTGGTGTCATTCTAATATCACTTGTGACTGGATAAAGGAAAAATGCCGCTGTCTGTTCATCTTTTTATTTGATGCCATTCGTTCCACGGAATTGGCCACTCGAATGCTATTCCCTAAAACGCGACTTGATCCTCCTCACGCTGAACATGAAGTACCTAGTTCCTCACTTGACGCTGTCCACCGACCTCAATCCGATAGAGCGTGACTATTTGTTGAATTATCTTGATCCATCTGCCGGTCTGTTGTCCGCTAGCCATACTGATCTCCCTCTATCTACATCGTCCGATCTTGGATCATGGTTGCGAAACATCCTTCTGTCGACTAACAAGAACGCGAACACGTCAGCTACTCTGCGGTTGTGCATCCAAAAAGGGGTTTTCTGAATTATCTAACTTTGTTAAAGCATGACAGTACTATCTCAAGTTCGATCATCCCGGACGAACTCGGCATTTTACAAAACCCGATCATGTGCGACGTCATTACCAAAGCCCTTAGTCGGCGCTCTGATGCAAGCGGTGTAAACGTCCTCCGCGTGGGTGAGCGAACTTATTCTCTCTTTAGTGCAGTGCTTCCAAGCATTACAGCATTTTTCTTGAGACCGAGATTCTCCGGTTCCTTTAGTCTTAGCTTTGTTGGTTTCTCGCGATTTAAGTTATACGAAAACATTCCATTCTCCAAATTATATACCCTTCGATTTTATGGCTCTGATGCAAGCCACCATTTGGAGAATGAGAACTCAATCTGAGCACATTCACGTGTTCCTTCAACACTATGCTTGTACAATGTTGATGCACCAACTGTCACGGAGACTCATATGCTCCCTTAAATTGTGTTCCCACCGCAACAAGTTAGCGCCCAATGTGCACTCTTATCTAGTCAAACTCACCTTACGATATGAATCATTTGTGCTGTAGTTTCGAATGTGCACGATCCTTCGACTGAGTCCTCACAAATGTTCTTGCCGACCGTCAGTTTTCCTGCCTTTGGTTCTCGGCGTCGTCGTGGAACTTTCGTCTCGCGAGAGGCGATGGTCGAGTAGAATTCCGTTCAGCTACTGTGCGTGTGTGAATAACAAACCGATCACTAGTCCGTTCGAATAGGGGCGATAAACACTATGTATGCGCCTAATTGTTTCACTGCCTTGTCAGTACAACGTCTTTGCTGGCGGTTAGAATCCAGGTAACTGGACTGCATTTATCCTTTTGTCCAGCCTCATTTCATCTTACAATTTTGAGTGAAATGTTTGACTCCTAAATTACTTGGATTCTGAAGCAAAACTCAAAAATACTGTAGTTTCTCTTGGTTTACAGCGTTTTTCTAAGATTAGTACGTATCTTATGGACTTATGCCTTGGATGAAACGCTTGATTTTACTTTTAACCACATCTAGCCCAGGAAATTCCCCAGGCATAAAGCGATCACATAATCAATGTTTCTGATTGTCCTACACTCTCTATTTCTTCCGCAGCTCGCTCATACTTTCATCCAGTTTCTCTGAACTCTTGTTTCTTCTAACACATGTATAAATAGTGCCATCCTCCAAAACAGAACACTTGATAAATTTCTTCGCTGTTGTTGTTGTTGTTGTTGTTGTTGTTGTTGTTGTTGACAGAGACGTTAACGTTACAGTTTCTCTTTTCTCAGGCCGACACGACCGCTGGATCCTGGTAACTCGCCAACAACGGACAACTTTGCGCTACCGCGTAGCAATAGCACGGGAGATTTAATTGGTGCATCCGCCGGGTCACACACACACCGCAAAAATGTTACCACTTCTACTTCTCCCCCAAAACACAATGCAATGAGGATCTATCTTATCCGCTGTTATTATTTTCTCTCTAATGGGTATTAATTTGGACCTGTCACTCTATGGTGTCATCGGCATCGAAATTCTACAGCCTTAAATCCGGAATAATGCTAGTTCTGCCTTGCTTGCCGGCTAACCAGGAGATCCATCGTTGAAACAGACGTTTTAAATCATGCATTTTCTGTAGTGTATATCTTGTATCAAAAGAACATGGATGAACATTTAGCACACTGTAGCAAAGGTTAATCAAGAAAACTACACCTCACCGGAGAATAGAGTTCTAAACATCGAATAAGAAAACGGTTCACACTGGACCCATCAACGATAAGGGAGTGCTGCTTTCTGCCAACACCTACTTCCGCGTCGGGCTTCGACTATGTTCAGGCTCCTCAGGTAGCGGTAGCCGCGAGCTGGTAGTGACATCCTACATGTAGGGTTAGTGTTTGACGCCAAGTGTTGCTGACGGAAGCCAGTGTTCTGGTAATCAAAGCGTCAGCAATAATCAGCCACTACGTACCCAGCTCCCCTCCCGACTCCAATTATCCATAGCTGAAGGGTCTAAACAAGAGCGAAACCGGTTGTGTGGTGTATGTTGAAGTCATTGACACTAAGACAGTATCTACTTCCAATAACTTTCCAGCGATCAGGTTGATCTAGTTTGACGTTAAAGTAAATCTTGGTTTCAAACGCAATTGCATTTTGTAGCCCGAATACGGTAGGAATTGCAAAACAGTAATTCTTGTGATTACAGTCTGCCAGCTTTCAGGTGGAATTATCAATCAACACACCTTAGCCAAAGGCGAGAAACACACCTCAATTAATTTGCCGCAACACAAAAATATAAGACCTAAAACAATGTAGACTTAAAAACCATAACAAAGTACCATAATGCTAATATCACATTTTTGATGGTTCTTAGAGAGGAAGCTAAATGTGGGAGAGAGACTAAAACACCTGCACCACTGAGGTCGACCCATCGCCATGTTAGTTAGCGTATCCAACAAAACGTGCTCATCATGTTTTGTTCCCCAGCCAGACAGTCGGGAAACACCAACGCAATCCAACTTCAAAGTGCCGGACTTCATTCCTGTTGACCAAGTCATTGACTGGCCTCCTCTCCTCTTCCCTTCAGACACCGGGCACAAAAACAACGCACATCGAGTGAGTCAGTGTGCTGGCATACGCAACCCTTGTCCCAGCCATCTGAACATGATGCGTGATATAATGATGCTGAGCGGTTCAATCGCTATCCATGCATAAAATACGCGAAGCCGAACACATTCATTGTTCACGCGGTACTCCCACCAGACATGAGCTAAGCAGCGAAAGTAGAGACGATCCAACGTAGCTTGCCTCTTTATGTCTGTCAACTTGATGGGCCAAGTTTTACAACTGTACAGGAGGGTTGTACGGATGGCTGCATCAGGTGGAATTAAGACCGCTCACAACGATCGAGATGATTGCGTACTTCCACTCTCATACACGAAGCGTTTCTCCTGGACTCGGTCCCGCGCTGCCCAATTTCTCCATACAAAGTTTGGCTATCGTCAACACTTGACCGGGCCGCTTCCTTTGGTTGTGTATCCAACGTCGTAAATTAAGTGCGGATTTTCGCACTAGCTCCCACCAACTGCTCCCTAGGTTGTGTTTCGTTCCCTTTGTTTGTCAAACCTCAATTTGCTGAACTTTCGTTTTACACCCGGATGCTTCCCACTCCTAAAATGTGTTCACTTTCTTTCATCTCCGCCAATGCCCTTCGTCTGATTTCGACTCCATCGATTCGCTGGTTTTACACCATACCGCGTATGTGACTCAATTCAATATAAGGCATGAATTTAGCAGAAATTATGTTCTCTATGTTTCGCAACATTTACCAGCCGCTTTGCCTTACTCGTCTGTTGTGAACTAACACTCCCGCAGCTCCCCTGTAATCATTTGGAGTTCTGGGTCCGGATATCGTGGTGTTCTTTGCTCCTAGTAGTAAGCATTGGTTGAGGTTTTCCTCGCTCATGCAGTGGCTATACATGTATATACATATATATATATATATATACATATGCGGAGTAGCGCTTTAAAGGTTTGAGCACAGCTTTTCCATCCGAACTAAATGAACAAACTGCTTGGACTGGATACCGGGGCTACTTAAAGTCATTTAACTTCACGAAATATACGAACCTTGCCAATTTGCTGTTCCAAATCTAATCGGTACAAACAATTTGTGATTCTTTCCAAATAACTAGCAGAAATGGCTTCAATTTATTACATGCCTAAATTATATTTTACCTTTCTCACACCTTATATCAACGAGCACTGCACCACAGTGTATCTCTGAACATTTACGCTCGACCTTTTCCAGTTTTACACTGATGTTATTTATCAACGCATTCATCTCGGTAGGCGCTCAGTAGATGACTCCCATATATTTTGATTTCATCGTATTCACTCCATCCATCCTACGGGACTTGCTAAACACTTGCTTTTAACCAGTGATAAATCATTGTTCATGAATGTCGGCTTCATAATGTATGCTGGACATGACATTTGCCTCAAGGGAACTGACCAACGGAAAATCGCGGAGCAAAGATGTGAAGTAGGCAGAAACACGATTGTGTGCACAAATGAATGGGTTTCATGGGTGGCCGCACACATGATCCAACGATGTGGTGTCACTAAAAGTACGGTAGTACGGTGTCCCATGTAACATCCGTGGGCTGGCTCGTTAATTTTTAAACGGTATAAGATGACGGACAGCACGACATGCAGTGTCACATGTTAGTTTATTACGGCGTCTCGTGTTCCATACGTCTTACTAAGAAAAATCTGGCACAGTCGATGGGTCGTACTTTGGTAACCCCTCTGTAGAGCACGAACGGCATGCAGTCTCTTACGTTGAGAGCGCACCGTTCGCCTTAAGTCGAGAAGCCCTTAGCCAAATTAGTGTAATCCCGCCAATTCCCATCTGCGTACAGCCATGCTTTCAGATACGTGACATGTTTGGCGTCATCCGACTCTGTATTTTTCTCTCGATGCTGTCCCCATAGGACGGCTACAGGACGCCTGCGCCCATAGTGCAACCTTGGGTGGTTTGCGCTGCACCACACACTCCATAGCATTGTTAAATGGAAGTAGTAAAATCGGGAGATATGGGAGCCATATCATCAACGGACCCGGCCCACAATCCCACAACATGGACAGCAGCGGCATTCTTGTTTGTCAAATTTCGGAATCATGCGTACCGGACGTACACAAGCAGTGGCTAGGACGTAGCCCATTTCACACTGGATGTATGGAGCGACCCATTGAGCCTAGGAAGGCCACAAAAACGTGGACCCGTCTCCTTAAACAATGATTACATAGCAGCAAACTGGGTGTTGCCCGCCTGAAACTGCTGCACTCCATGACGCGTTCCGAGGTTATTTCCTCTCATCAGATAGAGATAGCAGGCATCGATTCCGGGACCATTGGGGTGTTAGTTGTGATGAGAGGAAATAACCTCGAAACGTGTCATGGAGTGCAGTAGTTTCAGGCGAGCAACACCCAATTTGCTGCTATGTAATCATTGTTTGAGGAGACAGGTCCACGTTTTCGTGGCCTCGCTAGGCTCAAAGAGTCGCTCCATACATCCAGTGTGAAATGGGCTACGTCTTAGCTACTGCTTGTGTACGTCCGGTACGCATGATTCCGAAATTTGACAGACAAGAATGCCACCGTACCGTCTTAATCTACGCCTTCAGGAATCTGCTTTTGCAAATTATCAATGAGTTCCAACACCAAGTCGTCACGTGAGACCCCGGTTCCAATCGCGACGTGTAAAGTGGAAAAACGGAGCTGTTACTTTAACGAGAGCGCAGGAAGATGACATCGAGATGTCATATCTACCAAATCGTCTGACACCAGAATCACGTAAGTTCGACTGCAATCTATAGAATTCATGAGATAACTGTCGCGTTGTAGACTGCACTTGGCAGATTTGGCCATGGTTCCCTTTTTAACTTATCGTGACTGAAGACTCCCTTATCTGGCTATCACGAAGTGTCTTGTCCACCCTTAAATTTTCATTGTGTGCAACAAGAGCTTAACCAAATCTACTCTTCGGATACAATCCCAATGATCGGAATGATCGAAGTTTACTCTGAAGTAAACAGTGGTCCCAAATAAGATCGCTTGCAGCCATCCAACCTCCCGGGGAGCACTCCAATATTGAACCGTGAGTTTTTAACTGCTATGTAAAGCGCTGTTCGTGAGACTCAATGACATGGTGATCAACGTGTCAGCCGGGAACCACGGCGTCCTGGGTTCCCCTCTAAACTTCGACTATATCATCCACTTGGTGCATCCAAACGAGGACGAAATCAGCAGTGAAGTACATCGTTTAGAACCAGTAACCCTGAACACTATTAACTTACCCGTCTTATTGACCGTTCTTGATACCAAGTCCATCTTTCTAGAATTTTGGCTGAAAGAACTATCCTGATTACAGCACAGCTCGAACTACCAAACACCTGCACAGTAACTACGGGGGTCTCGAATCTTCCATTCACTACCGCGATCCTCGTTACAGGGCAGCAAGACACTTACGGTTTTCATACACGAGCAACGATACCGGCGGTTTCCCTATGCCAAAGAAGGAAGGTGTATTGTACTCCCATATCCGTCTACGTTTTGGTATTCCAAGGGAGTACCAGACACAGACTGTTCACTAGGTTTACTTGTAAAGGGTACATAAGGTATCGAGGCATGTGAAGTGGTGGATAATAATTTGCCGCACCTATTGTGGTTGAAGAGAGAGTAATGTATCAAGCAGCATCCGTGATTCTTGAATTTGTGATGTGATGTCCGCGTTCGGATGCTGTCCACAGGCTTCCAGCGGATCCGTTTGGGGCAACATGGAGGCAAATTCGCGGTAGGCATTCAACGTTCCTTCACGCGGTATATAATAATGGGTCAGAAAGGACAGCTTAAAGAACGGTTCTTTGATAGTATGGTCTTTAAATTATTCATCGACGTACTTGTTGAGCAGACGGCGATCCCGGTCATCAGTCACTTGATCTCCGTATTTTATGTCTGCGAATAGGTAACGTAGTGCCTCCCAACCGCTCTCCTCGTACTGGTCCAGGTAGTTGGTGAGTACATTTTGGACCCTTCGAAGTCTGAGTCGTTGAACTCGTATGAGATATTCCAACCCAGCATGAGGAACTTACGACGCTCCGGTAAAATGAATTGGAAAATGCACAAGCAAAACAAGAGCTTCTTGTATCTTTCCGGCATGTGGCATGTTATGAACTGGTCTTCCCATAAAGAGATAAAACGGTTGCAACAATGTCGTCAGATGGCTGTTGCGAGTGCTCGGAATGTTGATACACGCATAATAGTTCAAATAGCCCTATGGGGGACGCTGAAATGTCAAGCCAAAGACAGGTTAATTGCGTCTTATTCCTGTCCATCCACACCCACAAGTACTAAAGCCGTCGGTGGTGATCTGTGTAGTCTTTCTGTAAAAAACACTGTAGTAACCCCATATGTACCTCACTGGCCACCGTGCCGCTTTGCGCGGCACACACTTTCAAAGTTGTCGGTTAAGCGGTCAGGATATGTTGCTTTTATTGATCCCGATACGCGTAAATGTTGTATCCTCTCGACCCACGATCTACGTTCGGCCAAACTACCGTGATTGTTGCACAGAACCAATAATTAATAACCTCCAATAGAACCAGGAATTACATCACCTCTACCGAAACAAATCCATTTCCTTAGGACCTGAACCCGAATCCTAAAATCTAGTTCCCGCAGGCAACTCGGCAACATCCCGGTCGCTCACCGGCCCGTCCGTCCGCACGCAACAGTTGGTAGTGGTGGGGGAAGACAAGTTACGATGTATAGGCTTTGAGTTACTTCGTTACCATTCTGTCTTGGTTTGACGGGAATTACTTGAGACAAGATGATAGCTAGTCACCAATGGGTAAAAGGTAATAGTGTCGCTTGTGCACTAGCTCCTAGTGTTAAGAAGACTGTTAGCTTGAAACCGCTCTCTGCAGAGTGACGAAATTCTGCAGTTTTGCGTCAAACGTGAATCCAATGCCGACAGACAACCGTGTGGGTTTGATGATTCAAATCCTGCTATTTAACTGTATGGAAATCGGACACGTGTCACTCACGCGCCGGTAAAAAGAACAACGATTTTACACGGGTGAAGAAGCACTGCTTTACAAACCGCGTTGGGTAATCTGGTGGGTTATCAAAGAACGTTAATGAAAAATGTCAGACAGTTCTGCCGTCAAAAAATGAACTTGTCGTATGGAATACCGTAGCCCTGCACTCCAAGTGTTTCCATAGCTTCAGTAGGCGAAAAAAATAATTTCATGGGTATTCCGGGAGTAGGATGGGGAGTAGCTTCAAGCAACAAAATATAAGCTACCGAGTGCGTCATTTAGCCGACACATAAATATGGCTAGCGTGGGTGAAGTTAAAACCAATTCGAGGAGATCGTTCCATAATTCACACACACCTGAATGGAAGAGTAATTTCTACGACACGACAAACGGCTGTATTGTTCTGCTAATTTCAATGAGTGACCTCGAAGTTTATTGTTGCTGCTGAGTTGCAGTTGAGAAGCGGTACATGTTTATGTAAAAATAAGTACGCTATAATCAAGTCGTCTCGTAGTCTGCCATACTGCCCGCTGAATACTCCCAGAGATTTCAGCCTCTGCTCCTATGGAAGATGGCGTATTCCAAAGACGTAATTGGAAGTCGGACGTTGAGGGTGTTTGGCTGCGACCTCGTTGCAGTTGCTTTAGTCTGATAGATGTCAGCTAGGGGCGACTGGAGGGGTTAGGCATCTGCCTAGTCACCACCAAAAGTCACGTGCTCGAATCTACGCAGCTTCGGACGACCTCGGAGCCTATATGCGACTGATGGCTGTCGTGTGACAGTGAAGCCTTAACACGTATCGGGTTACTGTTGATTCTTACAGGTACCATCGTAACGCTTACCTAATAAAAACTCAGTGGGCGATTAAAGGTCCATTCGTGTTGGATGGATGTATACTCAACGTTCACACCGTTCAAAATCTATACGTCGGCGTAACCAGCCTTCGTTCCAAGACTGGAGTAAACAACCTGTAAAACACAGATGTCGGTTGTGAGAGGTCTTGATGCATTGTGTGCTGAGTATGATCGTATTTTGTAGCAAGTTATGCCAACTAGTGTATAATTGGCTCAGAATAAGCGCCATGAGTGCAGTGATGGTCAGCATCGATAAGCACTTGCAACCACCAACAATCTTTGTTCGTACACGGACGCACTTCCCATACATTTGTTTACTATAATAACACAACAAGTATAACCGCACTTTCTGCTAGTATCTTACAATGATTATATAGCTACAAGCCCTCGCTCGCGCCTCCAGTTAGTACGGAATTCTTCTACCATGATCGGGCCTAAGGTTGTCTGATATCCTCCATCAATACCGGTAATTTGTTTTTATATAATGTACATTATTATGCATAGTGCATCTAAGAGCCTTTGGAAGCTTTCCCTCAGGTCCACTAGAACCAGCAGTCACTCACCTTGATCAAGTGGTACAGTCGTTTCATATTAGCACGAAGACTTTTGGTGGCTCTGTGGTCACCTTGATTCCTGCTAGCAATATTGAGATCGGGAAATTTGGTTCGGGTTCGGTGACAGCCACCAACGGAACTCGCTGTTTGGCCCTTCTACCGACAATTGTTCCACGATCTTGTCCAACGCTGGCATACAAGATAAGGATAGATGACAGTTGGCCAGAAACACCCAATAACCTCACGGATTCCCTCCTTAATTACTCGCGTCGCAATCGGAGCTTGTCGTTGTCCCAGCGACACAGAGTTGAACATTTGGCCATGCCGCAGTTTTCTGCTAGTTGTAGGAGACCAGTTGTTGGATCCACTCCAGTAGAGAGGACGAAGATTAACGGGTTCTCGCGTTGCTGTCTTCCACCACTTGCTTCATGTCCAAAACCGGTGACTCAACAAACCGATTGCCCAGGTTGCTGGTAATAAACGAGAACGCAAAAAATGAAACTCTATCTTGCCTCAGCGAGCATTTGTCGTGTTATCCAACTTCCCTGGTAATGCAGTGTTCTCTGGCTCAGCGGCAGTGAACCACACATTCAATCTCGAGGATACTGTTCAAACGAAGTTATGAAACCGTGGAAATTAGCCAGCTTATCTAACTCCGTCAGATTGTCCCAACATTGCTCCGAGAGCCAAGCGGAGCATGGATTGTCAAATTGATTTTCGCGATCCAGCACAATCCCACCGCGAAGGAAAAAGTTGTACTCCTCCTGATTCAGTTTTCCAGCGGACTCCAGAATATTTACACAGATTTGGAATGAGAATAGTAACTTGTGCCGTTCAAACAAACCACGGCAAGTGTACCAATAGACAGCGCAGGTATGATAGTCATTCAGGTGGAGGATACGATCTCCCAACTTGCCGGATCTTCGGCTTTTATCAATGCCCAGATTAAAGAGATAAATGTATGCGTCCAGAACAAATTGATACATTGGATCTATGCGACCCAGGTCGTTCAGAACAAAGAATAGAACAGAAGCGCGTTGTGCACAAGGACGATAGCCTACTCGAACAGCATCGATTTGAGCCTCCGTCTTCTCCGCTAGTTGCAATTGTTCACTTACCTCCTGCAAAACGAAATGATGCAAAGTTACCAAAAATAGTAGAAGGAAGCGTCAGAGGTTTAGTCAGACACGTTCCACTTATGCACCTATGGTGGAGGTTGTTTTTGACGTCTGCATTGTGTATACCAAATGTTCATTGTCCAACAGACAACCTTGGGCTTCATTGAGTAGGCGCAAAATTTCATTTTCCAGGTTGACTAGTTTCCGTTAACCGGCCGCAATACCGGTAACCAGTTTGTCCTTCTGCTCTTCTAGCTCTGGGCGTTCTTTACGAACTACAGTGCGGAGAAACTGAGTCTCTACACCTTGCTGCTTTACGGCAAAATTTACGACTGACGTTTTGGAGCAAATTTCCGTATAAATTTCCAAGAAAGTGGCAGGATAAAGAGAAGATTATAGCTTTTGATTTACTAGGTGGATAAAAGAAGGAGCTGAGAGGAGAACGACGGTTAAAAATAAACAAGTGAAAAGAGCACGTTCAGGTCGTTATTGAATTACTGTCACAAAACGAAGCTAGCTTTCACAGGATATACTGAATCCGGATATTTTGCGTTTTCACATAATCCGTGTACAGAAATATGTGGAATAAATAGAATGCCTGTAAAAAATCAAGGTGCGACATTATATTGAGTTAACTTAGCTGCAAGCAACTGTGTTCACCTAACTCCGGTGAGATGACAAAACGATCACATAGCTGACAACAAAAGGACTAGATTGAACACGGAATCTCTCACTCTCTCTCTCTGGAAAATATAATTTTTAAAGGTTGACTACCTGAGGATTCAATGAAATGAAGTAGGCAGCGGTTGCTTTGTTTGGTACTTAACTGCAACGCTACACCTGAGTTTCGGCACAAAGACTATTTGACAATGGTGCAAGTGGGTTTCTGTTGGTTATTTGCAACCATGCAAAGCTGGATTTGCTCTGCATTCCTTGCTGGCAGCATTCTCTCAGATCTGCCGGTGTATTTGAACCCGCACATACATTTAAAAGCGCAGATGTGTAATGCGGTCTTTTGAGTATAGTTTATATCTGCACAGAAAATCTCTGACTTTTTAATATGCCACTGGCGCAGCCACGTACCAAAAATTGTTAACGGATTGGCGGAGACGCACCGACGTCTCCAGTCAACTTGATCCCAGTTAATCAGCAGCTTAATAATTGTCATTTTATCTATGGGTTGGCATTTTGCGTAAATTCTTATGAATCGCACGGTGAATACCTTTTTTACGTTGCCGACTTGACGCTTTTCCCTTCACTGTCGACTTTACCCGGAGAGGAATGTTGAAGAATCACGTATACATACCAAACTAGAGCAGTGTTTGTCGTCATGCTAAAGTATAATTTTATACATAAAACTATCCTTTAATTTCGCTTTTAATCTTGAGCGTGGTCGCACGATGGCACATGTTCCTCTACTCTACTAGGTATACCGCATGATTATTGTTGGCAAAGAAGACAAACTGTTGTCTATCTACTTACCATAAATTTGTGTATATTCTGCAGCCGAGAATGGGCTTAATGTTCTACCCATTACAAAGCCGTCGATCCGTCGATCCAGTGTTCCATTGTATCGGAAATGAATATGTTTTGCATGGGCGGAGTAACGATTGAAATTTAGCGTTTGAAACCGAAATTTTCTACAAGTCTCGCTAACATGTCCTGAGAATTTTTCTAAAGGATCTTTGTGTATATTGAGCATATATCAGAAGCGACCTCGAAGTTTTCAACCAAGTTAACTTTATCTGTCAGGCTGTGTGCGGTAAGTTACCTTCGGATGGGCTCGAGAAATTTCCTTGGAAATGATGCAAATTTTGTTTTGTGTCGGAGCCCCACGACTGCTTCCACCCACTAACGGTTGTGAGAACACCAACCACCGGGCCACACACAATGTTCACGCAGCATGCCAAACCGGCCACCAAGTGTCAGGCCGACTCAATTACAATATTCCAATTATGGCATATCACAGGCTATGCGGAAAGCTGGCATTAGAAAAGTCAAAGCTGGTCTGTTCAAAAGCGGGCTATTGGTAATTTGTGTTAAATTGGACGTATCCCTTCACGTTATTGTGCCACGTCTTCGGAAGTACGCTCAATCGGTTCGGATCACTGAGCTCTATCCAACGGCGTCTATATTTTTGAAGTCCAAGGACACGCTGGTACACCACAAACAAATGCTTCGGAAGTCTATTCAATAAGGCCAACTTGAGTAACTTTGCTTATTTAAGTTTCATCAGTACCTTTGAGATACCATTCGACAGATCTTCTTTCAGGCTGGCAGACAACATATAACTTAGTATTGTGCATCAGGGTATACCATAGGTACAAGCATTTTTGTCATCTCACCTTACCACCATATTTTTACTTGCATTTCACTGCACAAAGCCTGTGTGATTTTGGCGACTCGTGCCTCTAGTGACGCACCACCACCAAACCCGCTGACCGGAACAAAAAACTGAGGCAGCCCAAACGACGTGACCAGCGCAACTTAAAAGTGCACACCGACCACTGATCCATGGGTCGGAGAAGTTTGTCAACCGGGAATCCAGTGGGCAACAAACCTAATATCAACCGTAGCTCAGACAAGCGGGGAACTGAAATCCGCTCGAAAATCACATGTTCGTTCTGTGCCAATTCATATGACGTGACAAATATGAACATTACACTTAACGGAGCTAAAAGCGTATCGACAGATAGCTTGTGGTTTTGTGACATGTTCAGATAGTCCGATAATTAAGATTGTTCAAACGCTAACGACAAGGTGTGAAGCATTGGCTGTTACGTCTGCAGACCAAAAGGAACTGTTCGCGGTATTGGAAGGGAAAATCTCAGAACTCGAGTAGCAGATTAGTGCATCACGTAGCCCGAATCCCCGACCTGTAAAAGGCAAAATCTCTCAGGCAAAAGAGTGCTACCCAGTCCAGCGAAAGGCAAACACCGTTAGTGAAAAACAACAGTGAAAACAGGCCGCTTGAACGGTATCACAAGTCTCACGTAATTCGCCAAAGCACGCAGTTACGCACAAATTGCACGACTACCTCCGTCAGTAGCTGGTCAACAACAATTGACCCCTAAAGATAGTGCAACTAACGGCGTTGCATGTAAAAATTCTTTGCTGTAGCCTTAGCCTATCGTCCAAGGAAGACAAGCCAGACACCCAACTCGACAAACCTACGCTCACAAGGAACTGCAGAACAAACAATTACTACGCAACCAAAAGACGATGACAGAAATATGTTCAAACGTCCCAGAACCCACTAGCGAATCGCAAAAGGTAGACAAGCCGGGGAGCAAAACCGGTGAGCTGAACTAACCTGTGCACTCGGACTGAAAGTTCTCCCAACTAGTCTTACACGCCTTTCACGAAATCCATCATCTCCACACTTAGGGGAACCTAAGGTTACTTCGAGTAACGTTTGACAACACGCGCGACCTGGAAGATGTTTGCTTAGCCAGTCACATGCTAGTGAACTCTTCTGTCAGTGTCCGCATTTTTTCCTGACAGGCTATGGACAGAAAGGGAGAAGCGGAAATCCAACCCTAGTTCGTCACGTCAAAATGAGATGAAGAAAGTGGTACTGGTTCATGGTGTGCCAGAATTGAAGCATGGCGATGGCAGTGAATTACAGAAGCACGACATCGAAGAATGCCGGTACACGCAGAGCTATACGACATGAAGAATATCGTGGCTTTTGACGTCACCCGTCTAATTGCTTCCACAAACTACCGAGGTAGCTGGCCAAGAATTTTGAAAGTTACCTTGGCTGCGCCCGAAGTGGGATCAGTGGCAATCCAAGCATGACATGACAACAGGAAACTTGGGCCACCAGAAGTACGGTTAAGACAATTCCTTCAATTAATACAGACCTCAGATACAGATGAGCTGGCCTCAATTTTACCTATCTCAACCCAGCCAACTGTATAAACAACAGTTTCAAAAACCTTCAGCAGACAGGCACTGTTTGTGCCGATCACTCACAGAGTACCGAGCTCCTGATGCGTCAACAAATACAATGCTGCTAAACCAACACTCAGTGGTTGTATTCTAACCTCTCGGAGCTGCGCCATCGACTTGAAATAACAACTTGGGACTTCATAGCAGTTACTGAGACTTCGCTCTCAAACTACATACTTGATACAGAGATTGAACTCAATGAGATGTCAGTCATTTGAAATGATCGTCCATCACGCGGTGGCGGTGTTGCTCTCTACTACCGAGATTATTTGAAATGTGAGGCTCTTACCGAAAATTCCCTTGTTATTCCCGAAGCACTATTTTGCCGACTGCACCTAGTAGGACGAGATGTCGGTTCACAGAAGAAGAGTGATGCTTGCCTCTTAGCCGTTATCTATAGACCTCCGAACTCATCAGCAGACAGCGATAACATTCTGTTAAACGCCCCCGCTATGCTGTTTCACAAACGTACTCTCACTATCTTATAATTGGTGACGTTAGTGTTCCTTCAATAGCACCAATGTCCCCTAATGGGCCATCATTTAAATCGAAACTCCTCGAATTCATGGACATGGCAGTTTTATATAACTACGTGCATCGACCAACCAGACATCGCGATTCAAACAAGACATCACTCCTGGACTTAATCCTGACTAACAAAGACAATCTTGTCTTACCAATCTGCTGATTACTCGGAAATTATGGACCCATAGATGTGATATACCTGGATTTTTCTAAAGTATTCGGCAGGGTCAATCACTTCTTTCTCCGCCAATAGCTTGCTGCCTACCGTATCAACAGTTCCCTGCTCACTTGGTTAGAAGACTATTTACAAGACAGAGAAATCAAGGTAAGAGTAGCCGACACCTATTCTGAAAGCATTTACGTCTCCAGTGATGTACCACAAGGATCCGTCCTCGGCCCGCTACTCTTCTTAGTGTACATTAATGACCTTCCAGCAGACATTCTATCTCCAATGCAAATATTTGCAGACGATGCTAGAATATGGAGGGCAATTCGCTCAGAATCCGACCGTGTCTACCTCCAGG